GTGGGCACCTTTCTCTTTTATGTTTAACTTGGTGATCTGGCTGTTTCTCGTGGCAGCTATGGGAACCTTTGGTTCTCTGTTCATACCACCTGTTGTGGGCCAAGTCATGTCTTTAGTGGGAACACTGGGGGTGGCATCAATTATATACAAGCTGATCGACTTATTTGTACCCCGGCGGCCGCTCCTGTGACGCCATTTTTGCTTACAACGCAACCCACACATCGCTTCCCCTCCCTGCTGGCTGTGTCACACCTGCCAGGCCTGGTGCCTGGCAGCAGAGTGCCCCGTGGCTCTGCCTGGCTGCACTCACCCTGGCGAAGTCGTGGACGATGGCGGCGGGGTCGCTGTCGGAGAAGCGGGGCACGGGCACGTCGATGATGGCGATGTTGTCGGCCTCGCGGATGTCGGCCTCCTCGGCGATGGGCAGGAAGTAGGGCTCTGCCGCACGCTCCCGGCCCTCCCCCTCCAGGTAGCACATCTCCCCACGGTACACCTTGTGCTGGGGGAAAAAGTGGCTTTAAAACTCTAATTCTGACACGGCTGCAATCAGTCAAACATCCCAGGAAGGACACAACCATCTTCGCGGCTCGGTTTCTATCTAGCGGCGATCTACTCGGAACTACGCTTTTATTCAGGAATGCTTCAAGGAAATAAAGAGCTTCCACGTTACCTTAGGCATGAAGTACTTGTAGATGCAGGCTCCACCAACAACAACGCCTGCCAAGATGAATGCTAGACCCAGCAGAGTCAACAGGCATCTTCCAGAGGAGCTCTCCCGTGCGCCGTGCGTGGCAACTTCTGGATCCTTGAAATAAAGAGGGGTGAGAACTTAGTGCGGCTGCTCTGACTTGCTTCACCTTGACCTAGCATCTTCTGGTCCTTCTGGGTGTGCAGTGAGAGTCAAGCATCACACAATAAGAAAACACACCAAATACTGCTCAGATCAGTTTTTAAACAGCACTGAACGAGGCTCTTTTAGAGGATGCTTGTTGGGCAACTCCTTATCCAGCAGCTGTTTGAGGTGCAAGAGATCGAAGCAACTCAAGAGGTACAAATCCAAATAATCTGAAAAGATGCAGCACTGCAGCCACAATATAGGACAAGGAAAGCCAAATTTGTGGAGCAAGGTCGTTTTAAGGCACACAAGTGTTTCCAGGCCTCCTCCCCAAAGCCTATTTCCTCTCCTCCCCCTGTATCACAGGGATTCAGACATCACTTTTCCTTGCAAAGCAGGACTGAGAAGAAGCCAAGATGCAGCTCTGCCTGTCAGCTGGGGAGCAGATCCTCTCCTACCCCTGTATCTCACAGATTCAGACATTTTTCCTTGCAAAGCAGGACTGAGAAGAAGCCAAGATGCAGCTCTGCCTGTCAGCTGGGGAGCAGACATCTGATACAAGCTGAACACTCAGGTTTTAGGCTCAACTGAAGCCTGCTGCAAGAGACAACCACTCATCAATACAGCTTCAATTTATGTCAAAATAAAACCAAGTCCCTGTGGCACATCCTACCTTACAGCTTCAAAATGAGTCTGTTTTCTACCCAAGTCTCAGGGAAGTTTTGTTTCTAGCAACCTGAAATTTCTCTCTGTAGTTCAGTGACTTGTTTCCTAACCTCACCCTCCCCTCTGGGCTCAGCTCTTTCAAAAACAAACAAAAAAGCCCCAAACTAAACAACCAACCCCAAATGTTTAGATACACTACATATTGGGTCAAGTGTGTCCTTTTAATCACTTGCTCTGGGATTTAGCAGCTCACTTTCAAGACTGGTCAGGAAGAAAAACTGGATTTCACAGCAAAAGTTCTTGTCCTTTGTGTTGCTGCTGGAGTTAGGAGCTAGATGTAACACAGCAGCTCCTTTATCTGGGTGCCACTGCAACTCTTGTAGAAGAGAAGGCTGCACATACTCCTGTGCTCAGCAAGACACAGCAGTGCAGAAGTCCAACACATCAGCTCTGCAAGTGCTCCAACACAAAACAAGCTGTTTGGGGAAGGTCAAGACTCCCACATTCCACTCTCGCATCCTCCAAGCACAAAAATGTTGGTTCAGCAAGACACAAGCTGCTACAATTGGCTAGTTAAGCATTTATCAGAAAAAAAAACCCAACATATCCTAGTTTGGGGACAGAATTATGTCACGTTTATAAACATTTAGGTGAAAAACACCTTTCAGAGTTAACTAGCTTTTAAGATCAAGCCTCTTCCTCTTCTGCCACCTTCACCTAGATCCAGAGACACTGTCAGCTCCACAGAACCTGCAGGGAGAATATTCTGCAAGCCCAAGTGTTTTGTGTAGATATTCCAGGGGACTTTTATTGTGCTGTCACAGCCATTAAGCTTGTTGGCTCTGCACAAATATTCCAGCAAAAAGGAGCCATTAAGAAGCACTGGAACAAGTTTGTCTTGGGAGTAAAATTGTGAACTTGATGTTTACATGCAACTCTAGGGCCTGAAGTCAGAGTGAAGAGTTGTTAAAATAACAAACTCATGCACAAAGACAGAGAATATTGTGTCAGGGATAATAAACCAGCATGAGGGGCTTCTAAACTAAGCAGAGCAGCTATCATGGGAAAAGGAGGAAGGGTGTCTGTGGGTATTAAAACCACTATGCTCAGAACCTGCACAGCACAGGGCCACTAAAAATGTGCAATGAGTTGCCTCAGGAGGAGCTAATGAGTTTGTCCAAAAAGAAAGTGGCCAGGCTAAGGACATTTGCAAACTTTCAATCAGCCCTTTGCCTGCAGTGTTCCTGCTGCCTTCTCCCCCTCCTCGTGGTTCAGTGCTGCTGTATTAACTGCACACACACAGCCTGAAGGAGCCCACTGAGCAGCAAAGCCACTCTGCACCCCTTTTAGAGGCTATTTCAGGTGGAGCAGATGCTCTGTAGGCTGGAGGACAAGCTGCTTTCCCGATTACAGCTTAGAACGGGGACAAAAAGAAAGATAAAGGCACTGGAGTCCCAGTCCACTAGCATTGGGGGGTTTGTTTTAATTGATTTGAACAGTCCCACTCCCTAATTACAAAAAAAAATTCCAATTATACACACATTCCTCCCCTACAGCTGTTAATTTATTTACCTAGATGCCAAACTTCGTCTGACTAAAAACGTCAGCAGCAAGAAATCTTCAAAACAAAGCCTCCCACCAATTTGGAAAGTTCAATTCAAGTCAGCACCGCGGCAGCTCGCTCGGAAGGAAAAGCCAACCACAGAGTACTTGCCCGGGTTTCTATTTAAAACCCTTTATGGCAGGTTTCTTAATTTAAGCGAGACATACCAGGAGCCCAGACACCTCACCGCAGTGCCGCTCGCCAGCTCGCTGCCTACGAGGGCTGCGGAGCAGCAGCAGCGAGCGGAGGATGAGCCCTAACCCACTTTGTCTGCCTGGAAACCTGCTTCTTCCTGGGGAGCCGAGGCTG